GGTCTGTCTTTTTCCTTCTTTGCTGGAAGCTAAAATAAAACACAACAAAACAGTAAATGACGTCACTTTAAAAAGCGATTCAGATTACATTTCAATAGACTGTAATTTTGGGGGGAAAAACAAAACATAGTTTGAATCGAAGAACGATTATCGCTGACTTGAAAAACATGAGTTTAGTTTCCCATGATGCAACCAATAGCATCTTTTCATTAGACTCTCCCTTGTTAGCAAATACCGATGCCTTTCAACCCCCAGTTTGTAAGTCCGCTCCATAACTAGTGGTCAAAACCTCCACAGGGTACTTCACATAAACCTAAACTGGCAGGGCGGCCCTTTAAAAGAGGCAAATATGCTACCGGCCCACCTCTGGAGTCTTGCTTCTGCTGTGGGTTTTTAAGAACTCCTCTATGGCAGATCCCTTGGTCCTATTAACGTAGGAGTTGAAGACTTGACGTTGTGACTGTTTCACCTTTTTACAGATTTGGACATGCGTCTCTAATCTTTTGCGTGCAAACTTTCTGTTGCAGGTTCTGCAAGGAAGAAGCTGGAGGCCGTCATATGTGCCGTCTTTAAGGTCGAGCTCCCCCTGCTCTGGTCTGCTGGAACGAGAAGGACTAGAAACGGGTGGAAGCAGTGCTTGTTGTCTTCCTTCACCTCTGTGGTTTTCTGTTGCAGCTCTGTGAGACGTTTTCTGTTGACTGGTTTGAGGCAGGTATTCTTCATCGTCTGAACCGTAAATCTCCTTACATGTCCTTTCCACATATTTCTTTTCTCTCGTCCAAACTTTATCGCCCATGGAGGTTGTATTTTTTTCTGGTTCCATTTGTTTTTCTGCTTTCACACCTCCCCAAATGCCATAATCTTGTTCATCCCCTCCTTTTCTTCTGGTGCGCTCTTTCACGTTCTCCCACCTCGATTCATTCAGCTCTCCGCTCACTTCTTCCCCACGAACTATGATCTCATCAGTTCCTTTGCGTCCTTTTCTGTGCGACTGGGGACTCTGTGCAACTTCTGTGTCCCTTCTTGCCAATCTGACCCCCTCTTCTTCACGTGTATTCCTCTTTCTGTCCTCATTCCTCTGATCTTGCCTCTTCCTAAGTTGTTTAACATCCTCCTGTCTTCTCTCTTGCTTTATCGTTTCTCTGTTTCTCACTGGTTCTCTCCTCTGCAGCTCAGACATCCTGGTCTTTGTGGGAGCTTGTCCCCTGCTGTGCCTCTCCTCCTCACTCTTTTGGTCATCAGCACGGTCTGTCTGGATTTTTTGTCTTATTTTTTCTTCAACCCTCCACAACTTCTCCTGTAGCATGAGTTCTTTTGCGTAAATTGCTTTGGCCATCTGCAGTTCTCCTCTGGGCAGTCTGAGTGGGTCTTTTCTTGGGTATTGGGATGCAGTGGTCTCCCCATTTGAATGACGCTCTTGGGGTGACAAAGAGCCTTTTGGTTGTTTTGTAATATGGATTTTTTCAAAATCATTCAGATCAAGTGAGTCTTGTGTCTTGGTGTTGAGAGGCCTTCTGTGACTAACAGGCTTGTTTGGAAATGGCTGGTCGAGTCCATCTGCTCTTCTAACACCATGTTGTGCTTGAGTATAGACATTGCCGTGTCTTCTCCCTGCCATGGTGTGCTGCCCTTAAGGTCTGTGTCTTCTCCTGGTCTATGTGCTCACGACTTCCATAGATTTTGAGACCAAAACCCTCCAAACCAGCCACTGAGGGGGTTTCCTGTATAATTTATAGGGGGAACAAGCACAAAAAAATAATATATATTATTAAATGTATAAAATAAATTGAAGTGAAAAGAGAAAAAGGTTGGGGGTACACAGCTGACTTCTGCAGTTTAGGACTGTTAGTATAAAATAAGAGCACAGGTGGGACTGAATCAACTTTGCACGAGGTTGAACTTGAAAATTCATTCTTGAGCTTTAACTTACAGCTGACAACTTTAGCTCCACTTACTCACTTATTCTGTAGCTTTTAAACAAATGACCCAGTCTTTACTAACATATGAAGTTTGCTCATTTCTCATGCAACTGTAATAAACACTGGGCACCACTCTGCACACTTGTAGGGCTTCTCATCCATGTTGGCTTAATGAGAATAACATGAAATGTGTTGATGAAGACCATATGAAGCAGTCAAAAAGCTTCAGAATAGGTAAATAAGTTGTCTGCTGTTTTTAAGGTCATAAAATGAACTGAAGATCAGCCTTTGGGCCAACACGGACGAGAAATCCTAGTAGTGCTCTGAATAATGTAAACTTTAAACCA